ATGACTAACTGAAATGGTCACAACTATTAATGTAGAAGATGTGAAACAAAAAAGGAGCTCTGGTAGCATGGTGGTTATAAGTCAGGCTGCTAACCTGAATGTCAGCAGTCTGAAACTACCAGCTGTTCTGCAAGAGAAAGATGAGGCTCCTGTAAAGATTTGCTGCTTCAGAAACTCTATGCAGGGTCGCTATGAGTTGGAACCTACTCCATGGCACATAACAACCACCATTTAATCTTTCATTCCAGGAACAGAGGACTTAGGACCACCAAAGGAAGAAGAGCATGAACAGAGTGTGAGATCCCAACCAGAAAAGTGGAGACAGCAGAGATGGAGGCAGAGGTGATGGCATAGAGAGATAAAGTGCTGAGGACTTGACCCATGGAATGAGACAGGCTGTGTGCCTGTGGGCAGGATGCTGGCTTGTAAAATGTGCCCTTTGTTCATTTAAATTAATATCTATTTTCTGTGTGTTTTTTGTATATCAAAAAAAAAAGGAATATAGGTAAACACTGTCAACCAGTGGTGCATGGAGGGGATTGATATTATCATTGCAATGAAACAAAATATGATTTGTTGAAAGTAAAACTGATGATCTGCCCTGTAAACTATCACTCAATTCCCAGTAAAAGTTTTTTTTTTAAAAAGGGGACGGCAGGAAGTCTGATTCAGATCTTAGATAAATCAATCAATTATATATAAGCATACATTTGAAGAAAACTAGTATCTGCTATATGCTATAAGGAGCTCTGGTTGCATAGTGGTTACGAGTCAGGCTGCTAACATCAAGGTCAGAAGTTCAAAACTACCAACCATTCTCATGGGAGAAAGATGAGGCTTTCTGCTCCTGTAAAAATTTACAGCCTTGGAAACTCTATGCAGGGTCGCTATGAGTTGGAACCAACTCCATGGCACACCACCACTACTATATGCTATAATAATGATTCTCAACCTGGGACATACTGGAAAAGGTATTCGTGGGTGCTTTTGAAGTAACTAAACGGGGAGAAATTTAGAGAAGGGCCTGAAACCAAAATAAGGACATTGGAATAAGCATTCTGCTCAAAACAAAAACAAACTCAAACCCACTGCCAGTGAGTCAATTCCAACTCCCAGTGTCCAATATAGAGTTTCTGAGACTGTAAATGTTTGCAGACACAAACAGCTTCATCTTTTTCTCCGGGAGGGGTTGGTGAGTTTCAACCATGGACCATGTAGTTAATAGTCCAGTGTCTAACCACCAGTGCCTGCTAGAAACGTGTTAAAATCAAGCAGGTAAGCAGAAGGAAAAGAACAGAGCTGATGGAGAACGAGATCAAGGAAGGTAAGTACATGGATGTATAGGGTTTCAAAGGAATGAGTGGTAGATTTGAACTGCTGACCTTGCAGTCCAATGACTATCCTACAGCACCACACCAAATTAAGGCTTGGGGAGTGGGGGTTAAAGGAAAGGATAATTCTATGGTTTTAGCTCAGTTAGACAAAATTAGTTAATCCGAGGCCCTGTGAGAAAAGGACCTTGCCCTTCTAAAGACCCTAAAGATGAGAGAATCAGCTCAGGGAGCTAGAAGTTGAAGAAGTGGGACTAACGAGATAGGGTAGTGACCTAGGGTATCAGAGAGGGAGGGTGAAGTACTGGATAGGAAAATGATGCACACAGGATCATATGAAAGACTTCTAAATGTTTAACCCAAGTACCAAGGACCAAGAGTAAGGCAAGACTATTTATAAAATACCTCAACAATATGTAGTTTATAACCCGAATGCACAACTGTACATTTGACCAGAATGACTGTGGATACGGTGGTAAAGAGAAATCAAGAGAAAAGCTAGAGTTCTGTGGTCAGTCTTTATAGGATTAGTCAGTCTCCACCATTATCCATCCCTTTTGTTCTCCTGATGTCAGTAGAAAACAATCCAGATAATTTATAATAATAACATCCTTAGACTTGGAAACCCCTTTATATTTAAATTCTACAAGAGAGGGTATCCTGTGTTTCATATTTTCCTGCCTGGTCCTTGTCCATTTTGAGTCCCCTTCTCCATCCACCTCCTCCCCTGCTCACTGCTCTACACCCACCATCACCACCACCATGCCAGTCTCTTCTCGTCTATCATATTAATTGCCATTTCCAACCTCTGCTTGTTATCCATCTGGTCAAAGTCTGTGAAAAGCAGGATGTCGTGACACACAAAGGATATTTAAAAATGTAAAGTGTTGTCACGCACTGTTTGGCAAAAAATGAGGCAGAGGATAAGAACTGTGTTAAATGAATAATTTGAACTTGATGTATAGGCAGCAAACTAATTATACTCTGTAAAACCACTATACAGTTCAGTCAGCAGCTAATTTTAAATGCAAATATCTCTTCTATTATAATTTTACTACTTTATAAATGGAATATTGCAACTTCCCCGCCTACCTGCCGTTTAAAATAAATCTTTAAAAAATAAAAAGAGACTATGCCACTTGAAAAGTCAGTTTGTTTTATCACTGATAATGGTGTCCTGGTGTGGGGGCTATAGGATCAACACTGCACTGAAAGGCCAGTTTGAACTACAACATTGGTGGTTCAAATACCAGCCACTCTTTGGAAATCTTACACGGGGTCCCTATGAGATGGAGCTGACTTGACACAAAAACAGAACAGTAGTTTTATTTCTATAATTACATATGTTAATACAGTCCTTAGACACCTAAATAAGTACAAGGGATTTATTTATAGTCTTTCTTTTTTGTATCTTCCCTTAAGCAAAAGAAGTTTCCTTTTTTCTTCTAAAAGATTTTGATGTAGATTAAGCGTCTAGGTAACAAAGGAAGAGGGGAACTATGCTCTGGTTTAAGGAGCCCTGGTTATGGATTAAGAGCCGGACTGTTAACCGCAAGCTCAGTAGTTTGAATCTACCAGTTGCTCCGCATGAAAAGGATGAGGCTTTCTGCTTCCATGAAGATTTATAGCCTTGGAAACCCTACACAGGGTTACTATGAGTCAGAACTGATTGTTGTTGTTGTTAGGTACCAGTGAGTCAGTACTGACTCATAGCGACCCTACACACAACAGAATGAAACACTGCCCGGTCCTGGGTGAACCTCACAATTATTGCCACGCTTGACCACATTGATGCTGCCACTTTGCCAATGCATCTTGCTGAGCATCTTCCTCTTTTTCTCTGACCCTCCACCTTACTAAACATGATATCCTTCTCCAGTGACTTGTCCCTCCTGACAATATGTCCAAAGTATGAGAGACGAAGTCTGGCCTTCCTGGCATCCAAGGAGCACTCTGGCTGCACTTCTTCCAAAACAGATCTGTTTGTTCTTTTGGCAGCCTATGGTATTTTCAATATTCTCCTCTAACACCATAACTCAAATGCATCAATTCTTCTACGATCTTCCTTATTCACTGTCCAGTCTGCACATGTATATGAGGTTATTGAAAACACCATGGCTTGGGTCAGGTGCACCTTAGTCCTTAAGCTGACATCTTTGCTCTTCAACTTTAAAAAGGTTTTGTACAGCAGATTTGCCTAATGCAATACATCATTGTGAGTTCTTAACTACTGCTTCCATGAGTGGTGATGGTTGATTCAAGAAGGATGATGTCCTTGACAACTTTAATCGTTTCTCAGTTGATAAGAATGTTGTTTATTGTTCCAGTGGTGAGGATTTTTGTTTTGTTTACATTGAGATCCAATCCATACCAAAGGCTGTGGTCATTGAACTTCAGTAAGTATTTAAAGTCCTCTTCACTTTCAGCAAGCAAGGTTGTATCATCTGCATATCACAGGCTGTTAAAGAGTCTTCCTTCAATCCTGATGCCATGTTTTTCTTCCTATAATCCAGCTTCTAGGATATTTGCTTAGCATACAGATTGAATAAGTATGGTGAAAGAATACAACCCAGTCACATACCTTTCTGAATTTTAAACCATTCAGTGTGCTCTTGGTCCAGGTATAGATTCCTCAGCACAAAACCACTACCATGGTCTGGTTTCATTTTTGAAATTTAACAAAGAGTTCAATACAATAATGTATGGGGACTAAATGTTACAGTAGATAAAAATTAACTTGAAACCTTTCAGAAAAACACCGTATTGCTTTAGTCTATTATTGCTGGTAAGTGCCCTGGAGTCGTATCCAACTGACAGAAACTCTGTATGTATTGGGTTTCTAAGGAGTGGTGGGTTTGATTCACCGATGTTATGGTTAGCAGTCCAGAGTCAATCCTACAGCATCACACAAGGGCTCCATAGTTTATTATTTGTAAATATTTTCCTTAATAATTTAAATCATGGCTGTGGGAATTCTTAAAATAAATATTTAAAATAATAAAGAAGGTAGCGTTTCTTCTTTTGATTAGATTTAAGTCCAACCTTTCATATTTTCAAATATAATCAATAGTCAGGGTATTATTATGACAATCTAGTATTAAATCCGGCCAGTACACTAGGGAAAAATGCCTGCTCAGAAGCTGATCTAATAGTCAATTGAATGTTACCTAATGTGAAAAAAATTACCTTTGTTCCAGGATGTTGTTGTTGTTGCTATGTGCCATGGAGTCAGTTCTGACTCATAGCGACCCCGTACATCGTTTCCGAGGCTGTAAGTCTTTACGGGAGCAGAAAGCCTCATGTTTCTCCCACGGAACAGCTGGTAGTTTCGAACTGCTGACCTTGCGGTTCGCAGCCCAATTTGTCATATGGTAAGTAACTTCATACCCCATAGTTCAGAAATCCTCTGAATAAGATATTCATGAGGAAGCTATGAGATTTATTATCATCCTAAACATACAGAACAAACTGAAATAATAATTAATTAATTCACCTATGAATTCCTGAATGAAAACTAAGTTTAGAATGGTCAAAACAAAAACTTTTCGTTTTAACCTAAGTACTGAAATTGAAAAGGGCTTATTATAACACACTGACTAATTTAGGTGTAATTTAAAAAAGAAAATGAAGAGAAAATTCAAGCATGAAAAAATCCTAAAGGCAACTCACATGTCTTTGGACCGTCGAATTTCATCCTGTTCCTTGGGCTGGTGCCATCGCTGTCTAGTAGATGCTGTGGAAGCTGTTGATGATGTTCCAGTTTCTGAGTCCTCTGAACTTTGACCTCCAGAACTGTTAACATCAAAAAGATGCTGTTCTACAGCTGACCGGATGGTTCTTTCTAAGAGTCTGGCAAAAAAGAATACAGAATCAATCAAGCAATCAAGTATACCAAGGATTTCCTTTAAAGCTATTGTTAAGAGCAACTGAGTCAGTTCTGACTCATAGTGACACTGTACAGTATTTCTGAGGAGCAGCTGGTAGTTTTGAACCATCAACCTTGTGATTAGCAGTCCAGTGCTTATCCTACACTAGAATGTGTCCATAATTCTGGTGTTACACTAGGATATGTCCATAATTCTGAAACTATCTTTATTATTATACTAGGATATGTCCATAATTCTGAAACTATCTTTATTATGGAATATCTACTACATCTTGTTGAGCAAAGACAATGTACAAAGCATTAATATCCAAAATATTCATATCATACACTAAAAACAAAACTGAAAAATTTTCACCAAGATGATAACAGTGTTTCTCATCTTTCTGAGTCCAAGGTTACCAAAATGCTTACAGAAAGTACAGCAATAATAAAAGGAAATAAGGGTCATTTAATATACAGCACAATGAGGAAATAATTTTTTCTCAAATAATAATGAACTAATTCTTACAAAGACCAGTTTTCTCCCGATTGCATATCCTACAGAGAAAGAATGATTTGCAAAGCAAACTGGCAAAAATAATTTTATGACACTCACTACTTATTTTTAATTCCATCAAGATAAAACTATTGCTGTGTGCTGTTGAGTTGCTTTCGACTTACAGCGACCCTACATAAGGATTTTCAAGGGCAGTTGGTGTGTTTGGGATGTGGTTAGCAGTCCAGTGCTTATTCTACATTACTACACTAGGGTTCAATGCAAAATTCTATAGGTGATAATACTATTTTAAAAACAAACAACAACAAAAACCTCCTCAGGACAATTGCTGTGCATAATGTGGTTGTTGCTAGGTGCCACTGAGTCGGAACCAACTCATAGCGACCCTGTGCACAGCAGAACGAAACACTGCCCGATCCTGGGCCAACCCCACTATTGTTTCCATGCTTGAGTCCATCGATGCTGCCACTTGGCCAATCCATCTAATTGGGGGTCTTCCTATTTTTCTCTGATCCTCCACTTTACCTAACATGATATCCTTCTCCATCGACTGGTCCCTGCTGACAACATGTCTGAAGTATGAGAGATGAAGTTTGGTCATCCTGGCATCCAAGGAGCACTCTGGCTGCACTTCTTCCAAAACGGATCTGTTGGTTCTTTTGGGCAGCCCATGGGACTTTCAATATTCTCCTCCAACACCATAACTCAAAAGCATCAATTCTTCTACGATCTTTCTTTACTGTCCAGCTTTTGCATGCATATGAGGTTACTGAAAATACCATGGAAATTCTGTTATATCAAGTTGTGATGTATATAATTGAAGCTATACTCATGAAAACACCCCAAAATAAATTATTGAAGATTTAAGTATAGATTTACTTTGGTCAACCCAAAGAAAATAAGGAAGCATACAGGACTGATAAGAGTTCATGCAAAGATATAAATGGTATCACTTTTAAAGCTATATAATCCTTCAAAAAGGAGCTCTGGTAGCATAGTGGTTACAAATTGGGCTGTGATCTCCAGGATCAGCAGTTCAAAACTACCAGCTGCTCCACGGGAGAAAGATGAGGCTTTCTGCTCCCGTAAAGATTTACAGCCTCAGAAACCCTGTACAGGGTTGCTATGAGTCAGAACCGACTCTACGGCACATAACAACAACAATCCTTCAAAGGAAGCCTGGCAGCATAGTGGACTAAACACTGGGTTGTAAATCACAAGGTCAGTAGTTTGAATCTACCAGTGGCTCATTGGGAGAAAGAAGACGCTTTCTGCTCCGTCAAGATTTATACTCTGGAAACTCTATACAGGGTTTTATTATGACACTGAGTCCTGGTGTGGCGCTGTAGGATAAGTGAACCACACTTATGGACTGTGAACCCCAAGGTCAGCAATTCAAACTCACCAGCTCTTCCTTGGAAACACTATACAGCATTGCTAGGAGTCATAGCAGATTCAACAGCACTGAATAGCAACAACAACACTTAATTCTGAATAATCTGGGAAGGAAAACTCCAAATTTATACTCCCCAAAACAGGTTTTCCTTCACTTGGAAAAGAATTCTCTGTGTGTTTCTGTCTCTCTTTCTATATACACATATATCTACTGCCACCTAGTCAATTCTGACTCATAGGAACCCTTCAGGGCACAGTAGAACTGCTCCTTATTGTTTCCAAAACTGTAAGTCTTTACGGGAGCAAACAGCCTCATCTTTCTCTCTCGAAGTGGCTGGTGGATAAGCAACCCACTATGCCACCGGAGCTCCTTCTCTCTCTCAATACTCTCTCTTTCTCTCTCACACACACACAAAATATTCCAATTAAGAAGTAGCACTGACTTATGTAAGTTTTTATTATTATTAAAGAACTATAGATTTTCCAAACATATTTTTAAAAAGATTCATAGTAATTTTATTAAAAAAAAAAATCTTACAGCCAAGAGAATGAGTAAGTATAGTCTAATACTTTGGGTATCAGAACTTTCATACTTAGGATTCCATGTGCCAAGATAACCTAATAGCAGTACAGACAAATGTGAGTAAATGAATATGTACATACAGAGCAACCCCATGACTTTTTCAAACTACACAAGACACATAAGAAGCAAAGGTTATCAGGAAACAAACAGGCAAGAGCTTTCCATTTTGTTATAGTCTGGGATCTCTTTCAAATTCACAACTCTAAGGAAGGCCACTTTTACTCTCTAACTGCTTCCTCAGATGACAAAAATAAAAAAAAATAAAATAAAATCCAAACTCATTCCAAGCAGTGCATCTTCTAATTTTTCTCACTTTTCCTCTATTACAACACATCCTTTCCACCTCCTACACCTGATTCCATCTATGAAGATGTTCCAGAAAGGCCTACACATGTCCCAGTAAAAAAGGATGAGAGGTAGGTGTGACGGTTAAGTCTTTGGGCAAGGAATTATTCGTTCAAGTCATGGCACATACTGGGCATTAAATACATATTGTTGACCCAAGCCATGGTGTTTTCAATAACCTCATAAACATGTGAAAGCTGCACAATGAATAAGAAAAACTGTAGAAGAATTGATGCTTTTGAGTTATGATGTTGGAGGAGAATACTGAAAGTGCCATGGGCTGCCAAAAGAACCAATAGATCAGTTTTGGAAGAAGTGCAGCCAGCGTGCTCCTTGGAGGCCAAGATGGCTAAACTTCGTCTCTCATACTTCAGACATATTGTCAGGAGGGAACAGTTGCTGGAGAAGGCTATCATGTTTGGTAAGGTGGAGGGTCAGAGAAAAAGATGACGACCCCCAACAAGATGGATTGGCCAGGTGGCAGCATTGATGGACTCAAGTGTGGCAACTGTAGTGAGGTTGGCCCAGGATTGGGCAGTGTTTCATTCTGCTGTGCGTAAGGTCGCTATGGGTCGATACCGACTCAATGCCACCTAACAACAGCATGTGCCATACATAGAGGTGCTAGCCATACATCAATGACCATGCTAGGAGAAGTTAGATAACCAACAATGTAATTTCAGATAACGATGTATTCTCTAACAAATAGAATGGGATGGACAGTGACTGTGGGTAGTTCGGGACAAATTCCCAGATGAGATAATATTTGAACAAAGAAAAGGCTGGCATGTCTGAGGTACAGCAAGCACAAGGGCTCTGAGGCAAGTATAAACCCCTAGCTACCAACCTGATTGTACCACATGGAGAACTCATGTGTTACAGAACACAACTATGCTCCACAGGGTTTTCTTGGCTGTAATCTTTCTAGAAGCAGATGGCCAGGCCAGTCATCTGCACTGCCATTGAATGAGTTTAGTAGATGAATGTATACTGTTTATACTTTATATTATTTGAGTCACCATAAACATCATGTGCCTGAAAAGTAATGAGCCAGGTGTTCAGAAAGTTAAGCAGGAACAGATAACTGGAATTTGATTTTATTCCAAGTGTAACTCATAGCTTTTGGAAGAAAAAGACATGTGGAATGTCATAATTGGTATCTTGGTGTGGCACTGCAGGTTAATGAGCTGGACTGCAAGGATCGTTTGAACTGCAGTGTTGGCAGTTCAAGCTTACCAACCGCTCCTTGGAAACCCTATCAGGGTCACTACGCATGGAAACCAACTCAACAACACTTAACAACAACAACAACTCCTGCCCTGTGGAGAAAGAATTGAACCCATCACTAACTGGATTTCTTTTTAAGGTTCTTATTAGACTTGTTCTTCTTCTTGCTGTTAAGTACCATTGAGTTGGTTCTGACTCATAGCAACCCTGTTAAGTACCATTGAGTTGGTTCTGACTCATAGCAACCCTGTATAGGGTTTTCAAGGAGTAGCTGGAGGTTTGGACTGCCAACCTTGTAGTTAGTATTAGTCTCTGGAAACGAACATCATGCTTGGTAAAGTAGAGGGTCATTGAAAAAGAGGACAACCCCACATGAGATGGTGACAGCAGTGATGGGCTCAAACATAACAATAATTGTGAGACTGGCACAGGACCAGGCAGCATTTCCTTCTATTGTGTATAGGGTTGTTTAGTTGGAACTGACTTGATGGCACACAACAACAACAACAACAACAACATTAGAGTGTGAAGTCCCTGAAGGCAGAGTCCAAGGTTTATTTGACATTTCACACCGAACACTGTGCTTGGCATATTGCAGGCACGTACAAACCACAAGGTAGGCAGTTCAAACCCACAAGCTGCTCCTTGGAGACTCTATACAGGGTCATTATGAGTCAGAAGCAACTTAACAGCACTTTACAACAACAATCACAACGAACATAAATGCTATAGGAAGGAAGGAAGGACACAGTTAATTCTTCCACCTTTCATGGCATCCTCCCAAATGTACATTAGACTGCTTTGCAAAGATTACAAGTAATTGACTCTGATATTAATTTTAATAAAACAAATAAAAAGCTTCTATTTTCAAACGGTTGAGCTGTTTCTAATTTTACATTACACAAAAGCTTAAATAGGTGCTTCTTATTTAATCTTCTCCTCTGTGTAGAGTTGAATTCGTGTTGTGGCGCCACAGGATCAGCACTGGACTGGGAACCACAAGGTCGGCAGTTCAAATCCACCAGCTGCTCCTCAGAAACACTGTACAAGGTTGCTATGAGTCAGAACCTACTCCGCAACAATAACAACTGTGTAGAGTTATTTTTAAAGTGATCAGTGATTGCTCATTGTCTTAACGTTCCAATATTCTCTGACATTAGAACTGATCATCTCTGCTTTAATAAATGATAAATGGGGAGAAAAGATCCAAATAACTTACTCTCCAGTTGTCGAAACACTGCTGACTTGTGACACATGAGCACTGCGGAAAAGAAGCAAAGAAAAAGGTCAGATTAGCCAGGTGTCAGAAACCATGAACCAAACATCTAGAAGGACTCACAGGTTGAAGGAATTAAGCCTCTAGTGACCCTCACAGGATGTTTAACCATCCACTGTCAGGTGCCGAGTTTCACTTATTTCTAGAAATGGCCCTGGTTGTTCATTCTTGAACCATGACTTTGTCTCATTTTTCAAGATGTCTGTTGTTAGCTGACATAGAGTTGGCCTGAACTCAACGTGACTCTATGTGTTACAGAGCCGTACTTTCCTGTAAGATTTTCTTGGCTGTAATCCTGGTGTCCTGGTGTGGCGCTGTGGGATAATGCGTCAGACTGCAAAGTCGTTTGAACTGCAAGGTCGGTGGTTCAAGCTCACCAGATGCTCCTTGGAAATCCTATACAGGGTCGCTATGGGTAGGAATCGACTCAACGGCACTTAACAACAACAATCCTGGTGTGGCACTATAAGATAAACACTGCATTGCTAGTTGCAAGGTTGGAGGTACACTTATACAGAGTAGCTTTGAGTCAGCACTGACTGGACAGCACTTAGCAGCAACCATCTTTAAAGAAGCTGATCACCAGGCCTCTTCTTCCATAGAGCCAGGGGATGGGTTTCAATCACCAGTCTGTCAGTTACCAGCTGAACACAAACTGCTTGTGTCACCAGGAGGTGTCCATGACAGACAATTCCACAAGTGACCTTGGAAAAGTTCCACAGTCACAGTCCTACATTGTTTAGGGACTTTTTATTTTCCAAAGGGTTAATAGGAGTCCTAGCGTGGCGCTACAGGATAATGCACTGGACCGCAAGGTCAGTTTGAGCTGCAAGGTTGGCGGTTGAAACTCATCAGCTGCTCCTTGGAAACCTTATACAGGGTTGCTGTCAACTGGAACCGACTCAACAGGGAACTTAACAACAACAACAAAGGGTTAATGGAATAGTTGCTGACTCATTTTCTGTCACCAACTTTACCTATGCCACCTCTCCCAGAATGAATCCAATCCCCGGGCATGAAGATGGAAGCATTTATCTTACAACTCTAAACAGGCAGAGGGAAGCAAGGGTCACAGCGGGATAGGAAACAAACAACCAATACTGTTTTCCACATAACTATTTCTAAACCATCTTTTCTAAGTCACCCTTTCATTTTAAATGCCTCCAGATGAAAACCATCTCAAGCTCTATGATGTTTTGTCTTAACATCTAATTTACATTCTCCCCTATTTTTTTTTTTTTTGAATATGTATGCACTCCCGCTAGTTTCCTATTTTCTCTAAAGCCCAAATGATCTACAAAAAAATGCATTAAAAAGTTGTCAACATCAGCTTGAATGATGACATTATAAAACATTATCTGATTACACCCTTCAGAAATTCCTCTCTTGCCTGCGCTCTCTGTGCATACAACCATGATGAGAGGTGAGTTTGGTAGCTATTTTAAGTGTATTAATAATGTTTATTTTGCACATTCTGCCCTCTAGTGCTTAGCTTCCAAATCAAGAATCAAAGACTCTTATGATAAAAAAGTAAAATATTGAGGTTTAAAAAAAATCCTATGTGCAATTTATAGATTTGCTCAGCAGTTCTAATGGTTTTGTTTGTTTGTTTGTTTCCTTCTTCCAAAGGAAATAAAAACTGCTATGACTTATATTGATGACTACCTTTCAATGAATCCCAATAACTTACTTTAATTTATAGTTTTCGGTATATGGATATGCTGCTTTTAGATTCATTTGTTAGTTTTTTCTTTCAGGTAAGTGTATATCTCCTCATTCAATTTAGGATGTAAGGGCCTCAAGGATTGTATAATTTCTCTTTTTCTGTTATTACACCCCCGCCACTGCCACCACCGGTGTGGCGCTGTGGGTTAATGTGTTAGACTGCAAAGCTGTTTGAACTGCAAGGTTGGCAGTTCAAGCTCACTAGCTGCTCCTCAGAAACCATATACAGGGTCGTTATGTGTGGGAACTGACTCAATGGCACTTGACAACAACAACAACTGCCACCACCATCCCCAGTATAATATTCATTATCCTAGAGAGGACTGACAGCTACTCAGTCTCAGATAAATTCTTTTAGTTAGGATTGCAGCCCTTTTTTCATGGCTATAAATCATAGCTAAAGCCCAGGTGGGGGGAAAAAACATAAAATGTTATTGTGCACAAGGGAAATTGATGAGTGATTTCTATGTTCTAGACACTGCGCTGAGTATTTTTTACATGTTGTTACTGTTAGTGACCATCAAGATGGCGACCTCATGTGTTACTGAGTAAAATTGCTCCATAGGATTTTCTTGTTGGTAATCTTTATGAAAAACAAATTGCCAGGGGCTTTCTTCTGTGGAGTCACTGTTGTTTATGTTGTGAACCATCAAGTCAGTTCCAACTCATAGCCATTGTTGTTGTTGTTGTTAAGTGCCGTAGAGTCGGTTCCGATCCATAGCGACCCTGTGTAGGGTTTCCAAGGAGTGACTGGTGAGCTTGAACTGCTGGTCTTTTGGTTCAAACAACTTTGCAGTCTGGCGCACTAACCCACAGCACCACACCAGGACTCCCTCATAGTCATTAAGTAGGTTCAAATTGCCAAACTTTCAGTTAGCAGCCCATCACAAACTGCTTTCGCCACCTATAGATCTTCTCATTTGAACTAACCTATGAGGTAGGCACTATTGCTTTTCCCATAATCAAATGGAAAATGTAAAGAGGATAAGTAACTTGCCCACAATCATGAAGCCAAAAGTGGTTGAGCTGGGAGTTGAACCAAGAAAGTATTAGTCTAGAGTCTAAGCTCTTAATCACTACACTCGACGATCTTTTAATCCATCACTTACTAGAATAGAAACTCACTGGAGTCATCTTTATACAGAGGTCTGACTTTAGGTATTTTACTTTGCTTTTAATTACAACCATTTCTCTTCTACCTTACAATGCCTGTTATTCATAGTGGTGCCCAGGCTAAGTTTCCAAGAATAAATCTTTTGCTGTTCTGTTTGCCCTTAACTGGAACAGGCAGTCCCTGCTTTTGATGCTTTGTGGCTCATCCTCTGCACACTTAACCCTGGATAATTAGATCCTGTTCTCCACTTCTCAATGCAGATACATAACTTTGGCGTTAGGATCAGGGACCAATGTGAACGATGACTCAGGGGAAACCTGGCAAAGTTGAAAGTATATGGATTTGCCAGGTGCTAAAAAAAAACCACTCTAAACATATAAGTATATTAAGTCAGTAGTCCCCCATGACACTCCAGAATGAAGAGATGATTTTTCCTTTCCTTCCTACTACACACACGTTTGCCCTGTGTCTTTTGCCTATTTACGTGACTATGATGTTTTCATCTTTTTCAGAGTGTGGGAGGTAGGGGAGACAGAAGAAAGGTGAGGAAGAAAGAGATGAGGGAACGTCAACAAATGAACCAGGTTTTGAGATTTCTAACTTCCTTTAGTGCAATGAATTACTTCATATGGCTCTTCTACCCAACCTGAGTCTTTGTAACTCTCACCAAATGACTCAGTTTCTGATGAGCCTGAGTAAGAGAATGTGGGAGAAGATACTTATATGATGATATGCTGGACTTGAGAATGATTGTTAACCGAGTTAACTGTGACTAAACTGCAAGGTCGGAGGTTCAAATTCACCAGCCATTCCTTGGAAACCTATACAGGGTCGCTATAAGTCAGAACTGACTCAAAGTCACTTAACAACAACAACATGGGTAAAAATGAACCATCTCAGAATGGATGGAAGATCTGATTACCATCAAAGAAGAGCCAGAAGTGGAGAGTGTCCTTTGGACACCTAGATCCCCGTACATAGAAAGTCCTCAACCCAGTGACAAAAAGTTGTGACCCCAGAGAAATGGCAGAGGAACAAAAGCAGAACTAAGAGCCAGAATGCGAGACAGAGCGAGGGGCTTCCCAACTCACAGAGCAAGTGACGAAAGCTGAGGGACTTTTGTGCTGAGGCTTATGGTAGGGTGGTGTATTCAGTAAGCATTTATCAGCTACTCTAAGAGAGTTTTGTAACACTGCCTGCATCGAGCAGAGGCCATGCCAAAGGGGCTGAGGGCCAAACAGAAAAGAGATGGTCCTGACTGGAGGAAACATTTCTGACCCTGAATTGTAACCTATTAACTTTCCTAATAAACCACTAGCAGTGAGTATAAGTCTGCATTCTATGAGGACTCTGTAATGAATTATCAAATGCAGATGAGCAGACAAGTTTGTGGGAGGAATGGGAATGGTTGGTGCCTTTTTTTTTTTTTTCAGTCTCTCTAAGTTAGTGCTTCTCAAACTTGAATGCGCATAAGAATCACCTGGGGATCTGGAAACAGTTTCTGACTCAGTAGGTCTGTGGTCTAAGGAAGGTGAAGCTGAGATTCTGCATTTTTCACGAAAGTTTCACCAACATTTGGATGTGGTTCATCTGTGGAATACACTTTAAATAATAAGGTTCTAAATCCATGCAAATAAAATTCTTAAAAATTTAGATATCACAAATTAATAGATACTATTAATTATAAATTAATTAGATATAATGGCTATTTTAAATATTTTAATTCAATAAAAAAACACCTGATTTTAAAAATGCATGTCAACCAGTGTGAATAAAAGGCAACCCATCAATATTTCTTTCAGAGTTGAAAGAAAAATAATCTGAGTCATCTAAATTAGTCATAAAGATCCTTTTTCAGAATGTCATGTAAATGACTAAATCAATAGTAAAATCTAGTGATTACAGAGTATTCATTTTGGTAGTTCATTTTTTTAGGTCAAATTTATTATAAATTTATATTTGAAAGGTATTTAAAATAGTTCATTGGGATTTCTGGTATAATTAATGTGTCCATACTTACGTATTTAATTAGCTGAAATTGTAAGAAGGCAAGACTGTTAGTCAGCTCAACTACTTTAGGTTGATTTCTCCAACAAGAAAATGAAAAGCTTGACTAATGTTTCTATGTTTGTCTTTTAGCTCTAAA